AAGCCACCAAGCTCATCTAAGGCAGTCATCATCATGGAAAACATAAAACTGAAGACACAGACACCTACCACACAGCAATGCATACCACTGAGAGATAAATTTTAAACTTATTAAAAGTTATTTTTCTTGCAATGTAAGAAGTTTTTATACAGTAAGGAGTTTGAAAAACAAAAATATTAATAGAAAAATGGACACAGACATAGAATTAAAAAATGAAGAGGTCCTCGTTGAATTAAATACACACTGACCTCAGTTATCAAGTATAAGTGTGGAGGGGTACAGACTAGATCATTAACAGTGGCTATCTTTGGGTTGGGAGTTGCGGATAATTTTTACTGTCTTTGTATATCTTTGGATTCTAAACGTTTTTGCACAATGAACGTGTACCAATTTGGTAAGCAGTTATTAAGGAGAAGACCTAAGTTAAAAACACTGTGGGAAATGTGAAACATGGAAGCAGCCTCCTCCCACTCAAGGAACATTTCCTAGTGCCACAGCCACTCCTGTTTATGGCTTCCACGCAATTCACCACTAGCACTGTTCAGGAACACAGTAAGATGAGAAGAATGGATTCACACAAAGACTATATACAGCATGAAAAACCTGGAAAAACCCATCCTTTAATTATTTAATTTTTTTGGTACAAAAAAGTTCTTTTCTTGAGTGATCTGATTTATACTTATACAAAATTCGTCTTATGAAAGTTCAATAATTCTCTCATCAGGGTACATAAGTTAGTTCCCAGTCATATTGTTAAGCAGTTTATTTCTTGTATTCTAAAAACTTAAGGACTAAATATTTCCTTATCATTTCTATTTATCTTTCTTAAGATAAAATATAACTCTACTCTGATTTTCCTTTAATCACAGTTTTTAAATCTGCAAGTTCTTTTGTGCAAAATGATTTTATGGATTTTATTTAGTTACATTTGCATTGCTTCCTCTGATAGAAATTCAGTGTGAGAAAGGATTTTCGGGATGATTTGATATCCTCCCCTTGACTGAGAGGAGAGCTATGGCCCACAGAGGTTCAATTACGCATAGCTGAGAAACACGAAAGCCAAGCTAAAAATAACCCATGTGAGGGTAGTTTATTGCTTCTTTAGACTCATTTACATTTCAATTATCTACTCATAAACTAGAAGAAGAGTTCTTTAGTGTTAAAAAGTAGTCTGACTTAAGAGAAGTGTTCCATTTGGTGCTTGTCAGGACGTGCTGGCAAGCCCGCGGATGCAGCGCTACAGCGAGGGCACAGCACTGTGGCTGGGGTGCGTCTGCACAGTCTTGATGGCTATTGTCACAGACGGGACAGTACATGTGAACCTAAATATTTTATGTATAGACCCATTTTTAGGTAGCACTAGTATGAAATGTCATGTTTTAAATTTCTAAAAGAATCACAGGCTTTTACAGCTTAGGTTTAAAAGTAAGAAAGAATTTTGGGGGTTTTGCTTCTGAATGGTAGACAGGATCCAGCTGAAGCTGAGGTTCAGAGTGAATACATCTTTAAGAAAAAGTGAGGCTCTATGTGAATTACATTTTTAGGTCTCCAGAACAACCTTCAGTGCCCTTCCTCTGCCAAACTGTAAGCTCCCTGAGGGCAAGAGCATTTTCTTATTTTTCTTAGTTGCCCCAGGACCCACCAGGGCTCCTGGCATACAGCCAGCATTCAACAAATTGTCAAACGGTGACTAGATGGGAAGGGTCTCAGGAAACCAGGAGTGGCCACAACCAAGGTTCTCTGTGACAGTAGCTAAAGCTGACCCTGGAATGTCCCAAGTATATACATATATAAATAATGTGTGGTTATTTACAAAATAAATGGATTACTTTGTAAAGTTATTGCTTTGGTTATTATTGGTTATTTACTTTAATAGAGAATAAAAATAATAAATAATTTTGAATTTCCCAAAAGATCCTGGGCTTTACATATGAAACGTTTCTACACAGGAACTTGGGTTTGTACATATAAAAGAGAAAACTGTTGGAATGAAATATAGCTAAGGGCAATAAAATTTTATTTTATGCTGTTCATATTTTTAAAGGAAAAAAAAGAGGAGAAAAAACTAAAGGTAAAAACTACCCAAATGACCCCCCAGGCTCCATTTCTAGCAACAGGTCAAAAATGAAGCCTACAAGAGAGTCAAGGTTTCTTATGAGAAACTGTAGTAAGAAAAATACAATGACTCATCTCATAATAATGCCCTCACTTTCCAAAGTACACATCACAATTCCCACATCCCCGGCACATGGGCACTCGGTGAGAGCTACTGCAACACGAAGCATCTCCCTGCGCCACTGTCCCTCAGTGGACAGCAGGGTGACAGACCTCCCTGGAGCTGCGGGGTCAGGGGGCGGCAGGGCTATGCTCATTCTGTACCCCTCCCCCAAAGAGGGGCTTACTCCCTTTGTCCCGCTTGATTTGGAACAGCGGTTCTTTTGTGCAGCCACCTTTTTAAGAAGGAGGCGCTGGGCGCAGCTGGCTTCCTTGTGTACAGGCTGAAAGAATCCCGGGGCAGAGCAGTTCTGAATAGGCTCTCCTAGATTTCCTCACCAACTGTCACTTAGAGACTGAGGATCAAACAGGATAAAAGAAAAGATGAAGGAAAAGGAGTCTGCTACTCAAGGGTACAGCATGAGTAAGGCGCCAGGCTGCTGCTCAGGTGCTGCTCACTCTCTTGTCACTTCTGTGGCCGAGATGAGAGACTTCAGTGAGCAGTTGTGGGAAAGTGACTGAAGTTTATTGACAAAATAGTATCTCCAGCACAGTTTCTCAGGAAGCCAACCCCCGTCAGATGTTCCTTGAGAATAACTACCAAGAGAAAATGAGATGCAATATCACCGTAAACTGACAAAAGATTTCAAAGCTCTAAGGAATAAGGAAGTTCAAAGAATACTCACATGAGAGAGAGCTGGGCATCACTGGCTTTGGGCATCTGAACTATATAAGGGAGTAAGAATGCCACCTCTCCACAGAAGGCAGTTCTGGGAGGGAAGGACTGATTATTGATCCTTAAATAGCTGAGACAGGAGGGCTCTGCAGAGGTCAAATATCAAGGAAGATAAAGCTCCAAGACAATTGTGGTTGAAGGATTGCTTTGTTGTTGGCTTGATGGGCCATCTGTGGGAGAGAGGGCCCTCTGCTCAACCTGGATATTTGATTGTTTTAGGGACAAGCTTGAAGAAGTGGTAGACTGGAGGCCTGTGAGGAGGAAAAATGTACAGGTGAGCAGGCCAAGCAGAAGGGGTGCACAGAGCCTGTGTCCAGGGATGGAACTGTTTAGCAGCAATGGCTTCTAGCTGTGCGTGTGGATGGGAAAGGGTGTGAAGGAATGTTCAGAGGCAGGAAAAAAGGACAGCTAAGGAGACAGAGTCTGACCACATCTAAAGAGAATTACTCAAAACACTGAAAGATCCTCATGATGTAAATGGCATTTTTCTTATAAGCTAACTTGGTCAACTCTGATAGTATTATCACTAGATGTCAGAACACTGAAGATAAGAAAACTGAAATGGCTCATGTGAAAGACTCAGACTAGTCAACTTCTAAGAATGAAAATTCTTAACATGTAGGAAATCCTTAAGATTACAGGATTTATATGACAGCAGCTATGGAAAACTCACATTTGTATAAATACCAGTGCCCCTAAGGAAGATAATATTTCATTTGTATTGAGATGTTTTCATTCACCCTTAATAATTTAAGCATTAAGTATTAATATTACATATTAATACTTAATACAAGATCTAATTTCTTCTGTATTCCAATAATACATTATAATATAGTTAATTGTTTTCTCAAACCACAGATCAATTTCTTGATTACTTTGAATCACTTAAGCTATATTATACTTGTTTGCCAACAGCATCACTATTTTAGTATTTATTAACTTACCGAGATAATTCAACATTCTACAAATATTTCAAAGAATAAATTTTTAATGCTTTTCACCAAATTTTCTTTATTTATTTCAATTAATGTGTATACTTAGAGTTTTATTGATATTTGAAGAAATAAGGGTCATGCTGGCTTTTCTGATGGGTTCATTTGCTCCAAATGAAGGCATCTAAATTTAAATGTGAGTTCTCAGCTCTACTTTTTCTGGGTCTCCATTCACCCTTATTGCCTCTAAAACACTCTCCCTGTGTATTTATTTAAGATGAGATAAGACGCTGGTTTTAGATCGTGCAAGTCAAATTTCAAATGGATTAAAAATAAACATAAGGGGTAAATTAATATTCCCATAAATTATTTTAGAAGCATAATCATGTCTTATTTCATGTCCATGTTTAATGTCTGCAAGATTTTTACCCCTTTGTTAAAGTTTCACAACATATGTCCAAAAATATGAAAAAAGTTTGTACAGAGGTAGGTTCAGGTAGACTGGACCGTGACCACAGCAAGATAACACACGAGGAGACTCTCTCCAGTGTATATGGTAAGCTTAAAGACAAAGCTGGAAGCTGCAACATTACGCGAGTTTTCTGTATTTGTCTGAATAGGGAACTCCAATGAAAGAGTAACAGGATGTGATGGGGCTTAAGACTTAGCATGAGAAAAGAGAGAAAGAAAATGAACCCTATCAGCTAAGAAATAACACACTGGGGAAAAGTACTGGTTCTCATGAAAATGTCAGTGATTCACCATGGAATAAAACTCAAAAGCCACTGACCCCAGTGAAAGCTTCCAGTGGAAACATGTGGATTTTGCTTCATTTCATTTAAAGACTTTGCTTAATTTCATTTAAATACTATCACAAGCACCATCACAGTTTTTATAAAATGATGCTTTCTCATTTAAAATTGATATGGAAAAAATACTGATCAAACTAAGTTTTAAGGGGTCTTAATATTATCATGCAAAATAGATAGGACATTTTTGGTCCCTTACGATATATATTAAGTGCTCAATAGCTAAATGACAACAAGAAAAACTTCTTAAAAGAATTTTTTTTTTACAAAATTTAAGCAGATTTATTTATAGAATTTTTTCATACATACCAATTCTTCATTCTGTCTTGAAAGATCATGATTGAATGCAAGCTGACTTACACAGACCACAAATCTGTCAGGAAATACACGAAGTTCTATACAAAATGAAGAAAATAAAATTATTAAAAGCATCAAAAATCTATAAACACAGAAATGCTTGGTCCCACATTTTTAAGTTATAGCAATAAGCGCGTATGTAAGATACCCGTGTCCTGCCCCCCCCCCCCCACTTTCCAGAGTTTGCCATTGCTAGGGCGGGGCAAGCACAAAACTCAGGGAATGCGGAGGAGGCAACAAACTGGTCCACCAGAGCCCCTGGACCATTGCACCATATGAAACCCCCAGGCAGAGCCTCTGTAGCCCTCCCTCTGTGCCAATTTCCAGTGATCTGTTCAGAACTCATATTTTGGAAACAGGATCAACATTTCTAATGTGTGTGCAGACTTACAAAGGAAGAGGAAGAATATTACGTAAAAGAACATTCTTATAAGTTTGCCTATTGTATCCTTGGTCTGAGAGAGGCCCCTAAAAGGGAGGGCCTTCTTCTTCCTTCTCTACACTTGTTTGTATTGCTTGAACCAGGCTATGAAAACAACAGTTTCATTAATTAGGAATTGATGATCAAACTATTAAGGAAGTGGTTAAATATGCAATAGTAAAGATGATAGAACTGCACGAGTCACAGTAATCTAGTTAAACAACTTCTTAAAGTAAAAGACTTCTGCATGGGGAAGGTTGAATGAATCACAGAACTGAACTTCTCAACATTCATTGAAAGGAACACAATATGATAAATGCCACCTGTATCTCCACTTCTCTCATCTGTTCTTCTGTCCTTCTGTCTGTCCATCTGTCTGTCTGTCAGTCCATTCATCCATCCATCTACCTATCCAAACACCTAGCCTCCACCTATTCCTGGAATGATGTCTGAAGTGATTATTAGCTGATGCTAACAGTGTATTTTCTAGGTGGTTGTATTGCTTGAATATTTTTATAACATATATGTACCACATTTATGACAGAAAAAAAGCCATTTTTCTAAAAGAGAAAACTTCCTTCTCAGATGTTACCAAATTTTTTTAAAGACATATCTGAATCAGATAAGTGAAGCCTTTGCACACATGGCACATTTCCCACAATGAATGATAATGAGAGGGTACTGACTAAGGCGACAGATAGCATATCTCAATCTGATGCACTCAAAGCCAAGCAATTATGCAAACACAGAACTTAAACACAGTTAACACCTTATACAGCTTGGCTAGATGAAATTGTAGCAAATACCTAATGAGGATCAGCTCTCTCCTTACCTCTCGCCTGGACTACTGCTGTCTCCTTGGTGGCCATTCTTCCTTATTCCAATGGCCCTGAGCGCAAGCAGGTTAACAGTTCTAAACAGCAGCTCCACTTACCATGCTCAAACCCCTACGGTGGCTCCTTAGTGCCCACCACATACTATGCAAATTCTCGGGCCTAACCTGTAGTTCTGGTCTTGTCCTCACTAGTCTTCTTCATATAGAAACCTCTACTTCAGGGATCCTGGGCATGTTTCAACTTTGACCCCTCATGGGTGTCATATGTGGCCAGGTGACCAGAAATGGGAATGGACTTTGAAAATCCAGAAAACCAAAATTATCAAAGCAGTTAGTATTTATTCATTAATTCATTTTTAAATCCTCATCCAAGGACATATTTGATGAGAGGGAGGGAGGGAGGGAGGGAGGGAGGGAGGGAGGGAGGGAGGGAGAAAGGGAGGGAGGGGGAGAGAGAGAAAAAGAAACATTGATGTGAGAGAGAAACATTGATAGGTTGCCTTGTACGTTCCTTGACTGGGGATCAAGCATACAACACAGGTATGTGCCCTGATGGGGAATCAAAACAGCAAGCTTGCCCTGGCCAGTTTGGCTCAGCAGTTAGAACATTGGCCTGTAGACCAAAGGGTCATGGGTTTGATTCCAGTCAAGGGCATGTACCTGGGTTGCAGGTTCAATCCCCAGCCCCAGTCAAAGTCATTTGGGAGGCAGCCAATCAACGTTTCTCTCTCTCTCTCCCTTCCACTCTATCTAAAATCAATGGGAAAAAGAATATATCCTCAGGTGAGGATTAACCAAAAAAAAAAAGGGCAACCTTTTGGTTCATGGGACAATGTTCAATCAACTGAGAGCCACTCTGGCTGGACTGTTTATTAATTCTTAAAATATCTTATTGAGCTAAGTGACAGGTAGTGGGTTTCTCACTTTATGGAAGGGGAAGCTGAGTCATTAAATTCCTTATTTGCCACCTACCCCCACCCCCCCAAATATTATAACACTAAAATACAATTTGCTGGTAGATCAGAATTAAAATTCAAAATGCTCAGTTTTATCAATTATTAGTGGCTCAGAGCCAGAATTCAAAGTTAATCTATTCTATCAAATAAATTCCTGTTTTGTTCGTCCATTTCTTCATTTAAAAAATAAGAATGATAGAATGCAGATTCTAAATATTTTGGTGCCAGGTGTTGTGTAAACAGAAAGCAACTTCTGTATCCCTTCACTCTTTTTAGGTTCTAGTTGAGATTTGCATTACCTTAATATTTAAAAGATTTAGGCAACAACAATGCCCATTACAAAGGGTAGCTAGGCTGCATTTTTTAAAATACATTTTTTTATTGACATTTTTTTAGAGAGAGAGAAACATCGATGTGAGGGAGATACATCAATCAGCTGCCTCCTGCATGCCCTCTACTGGGTATCGAGCCCACAACCCAGGCATGTGCCCTGACCAGAAACAGAACTGGGACCTCTCAGTCCATGGGATGACGCTCAATCCACTGAACCACACCAGCCAAGCTAGGCTGCATTTTAACAGATACAGGTGAACTATCTTATTTTACTAAGAGAATTGAGTAAAGTAGAAGGCTCCATTAAGAGTAAATATATTCAAACGACACTGAAAGTTAAGAATTTGCAGATAATTGTTAAGATTTCAAGAGCAAACTTCCATGCAGTTAATTTTTAAAGTCCCTGTTTCATAGCTTATATACTAAAATCATCCATGGAAGTTGAACTAGATTTTCTTTCCAATGCTCAAATCAACTTAGAGAATGATTGTTAGTATCTGCCTTTATTGTTGTTGGCTGGACACGTTTGACATCATTTCCTCAGTGGACATCTTGACTGGGGAAATGAGGGGGGCAGCTGGCCTCCTCACACACCTAGGAAAGGCTCTGACAGGCCAGGCTGGGAAAGCATGTTCTCGTGCACACACTTGCTCCGTCTCCCCGGGCCTCTGGGTGCACAGACAGTGATGAAGTGATTCACAGTTTAACTGCCTGTGAGTCACTCTGGATGCTCAATGGAAGTGCTGAGATGCAGCAGGAAAGCACAGAGTAGGGTGACCCACCTCACTATTCTCAGGCAGACAATAAACAGTGAAAAGTGAAAAAGAAATAATCACAAATTTTGGAAATACTCTTACTTAGTACTTCAATTTCATAACGGCAACAAAGCAGCTAGGAATCATCATTCCTTAATTTTCTTCCCTCTCTAGGGCAAGCTAATTGTACAAAATGTCTGACAACCTAAGAAATCAGTTTCTTACCACGACTCTGTGAACCTCCAAAGCAGCGAAGGTGTATCCCTCTCTTGAGGAAATAGGCTGTGATTTGGAAGCCATATCCTGTAAAGTGAAAGAGGACATCATTAGGTTATGAGCTTGTCTGTCACTGAATCCCACGGGCCAAGCCCAGTGCCTGCCATCTTGTATACATTCGTTAATTACTTAGCAAATGAAAGAGTCCAAGAATCAATACAGGACCTCACTTGAGAGGAAGGGGTGAACATTACAATCTTGGCTCTTCTAGGAGGCCTGGCTACAGCACCTGGGATGGTCCCTAGTCCCTGAAGTGGCTCAGTCACTTCATCTGTAAAATGGAATAAATGAGGAGGTCTGACAAAGAGGCTTAAACACCAGGCCCTTAGCAGGGGGTCATTAATTCAGGCAGAGCTAGTACATAGATCCTGGCCACATTCTCATACTCATTACTTATGATCTCACAAAAAGAGTCATTTAATACCTATTTGAAAATGTGTGTATTTGCCTATAAAAAAGTTATTCTAAGTCAAGTACAGTAAAGCCTTCATATAGAGTGAGATGAAGAGAAATATGAGCCAAAACAGTCTTCAATTCATCAGAATGACATAAATGAAAAAGACCAAGAGCACCAAGTACTGGCAAGAATATGGGCAAACTAGAATTCTCATACCCTGCTGAAAGAAAAATAAATTGGTATAGCCAGTTACAAAACCTGCTCAAACATCTTAAGCAGAACGTAAGCATGAATCCAGGGGTCCATAACAACACTTTTCCTAATAGTCTCAATCTGGAACCAATGCAATGATCCATCAATAGAAGTTTTCTTATTGAAAACAGGGGTGGGGGGAGTGGTGGTGGGATGTGCACAAGCCATGAACAGGGTAGGGGAGGAATGTACTGACATGAAGCTCAAGTATGATCAGTGCTTTAATCACTGATCTGCCAAGAAGTTCCTCACGAGACAGCTCCGGGGACCTGTGCACTGACCTCTTCAAGCACGACCAGCAGTGTGTACAGAAAGCAATAAAGAAGAAAGAGATTCCCATTGAAGGAATGGAGTTCATGGGCCATGGCAGAGAAAAGCCTGAAAGCTCTTCTTGACCTTGACAATCACCTTGAAAACTGACTCCTCAAATCAGGAAATTGAGTACTCAGGATTCTATCGATTAAGGCTGTGAAAGATAGCCATCAACTTAATGAGAAGTTTAAGGGGAAGGTTTTTCTCTCCTTCTAGATGTTTTTCTCTCACTTGTAATAGGTAATAAACCATCACTTTTCCCTTTGGGATGATTTCTCACTTGCTCTGGCATCTTGAAGAAACTGCTAAAACTGAAGGATTTCTTGGGATTATGGTTGCAGTACTTCGTCTGGGATCAGCTTTAAATATATCTTGCATGTACACACTGATAAACTTGTTAGGATAATCATGGTGGCCTGACCTCGGGCTATGCTTCGAAGGTCATCAGGTATACTGTACTGGGGTCACTGTTCATGGAAGCAATTGGTTAGGACCTCTTTCTCTCAGGGAGCTAATGCTTGGACAAGGGATCCCAGCACAAGTGTTTCAATCGATGCTTGGGAGGAGTTTTATTTTTATATAGCAACTTAACTATTAAGATCGCTGGTGAACTGGGTTGGCCAAAAGGAAGCTTCTAACAGTTCTCTGCTCTAGCAAGAGGTGTCAGTCAGAGCTCAGATTAAGATGTGAAAGCTTCACGAATGTTCGAGTGAACCCCATTTCTGAGCACACAGTATAGTCTAGTCATTAAGATCCTTGGAGTATGCTATGGAGGAAGATCCTAAATTGCAAAGATTTGCTGTTGTCCGCTTTCAGCCTAAGTCAATGAATTAAATACGTCAATCTGCATATCATGAAAATGCCAAAACAATCTGGTTAAATAAGAGGAGAAAGGAGTTTTCTTTATTTGCCGTGTTAACCCATTCTGCCCTGTAATGTCTGTAATCATGAAGATGGAATAAAATGCAACATTAAAAAGGGGGGGAGGGGGAGATAGTCACACAATGAAATACTACACTGCCTCTAAAAATGAACGAGCTACAAATATAGTCCACATCAGAAATACATCTCACAAACACAATGTTACGGGAAAGAAGCCTCTTCCAAAGGAGTACATTCCATCCATGAAAACAGAGATATTACCACTGATCTTACAGGGTGGCAACAGAATTTCTGTGATGCACAAAGTACAAGCAGAGTGCCTTCTTTCCTTTCTCCCTCCCTCCATCCCTCCCTCCTCTGCCAGCCCCCCTTACGTATAAACTACTGTTAGATGACTATTTTGAAAAGATTTAATTAAAATGTTCCCATCGATGTGGTCAAGTACTTGGTGGAAGAGCCAGATGTGAAAGGCCTGCCAAAGAGGGGTGAGGGTCCCCAAGTTCTAAAACAACCTCAGAGACAGTGTTTTATCCACGAAACTGGAGAAGCCAGGAGTTGCAAGAGGTGGTCTCCAGGACCACCAGATTTTCCAAAGTCCATGACTATGAATGTTTTGAAATAACTTGTATATAGTAAAGAACACAAAGAAGTTTCCACTTTTACATTCAGTATCCTTCCACCACTCCTGTAGAAAGATCCAGAACACCACTGCTCAGACAGCACAACTGCTTTAGTCACAGGGACTGCGAGAAACAGTGACATCTCTGATAGGATAATCTCCAGATGAATTGAGATGAATTTTTTCTAACACACTTGAAACAGATCACATTTAGTCTCATGTTTCCTCTGCTTAACATGTCAAAATATGCACACCACTGGTATTATGCTGAGTGCTTCTAAACAAATACTTCATTCCTCAGGTCACTGAAAGACAGGAAGTGACTTCCACATCTGTTTACTTGTCCTACTGCTGGGAGGAGGAAAATTATAGGAGAGAAGTCCTTTACAATTTGGGATTCACAAACACACACAGAAAATTTTAAAGTTATTTAAAAAATAATGATCTAGTCCTGGCCAGATGCCTCGGTTGTTTGGAACGTTGTCCCATACACCAGAAGACTGAGGGTTCGATTCACAGTCAGGGCACATACCTAGGTTGTGGGTTTGATCCCCAGTCTGGGTGCGTAAGGTAGGTGGCTAGCCAATGTTTCTCTCTCACATCGATGTCTTTTTCTTTCTATCTCTCTCTCTCTCTTTTCCCCTCTCTCTAAAAATCAATGAACATGTCTTTGGGTAAGGATTAAAAATAAAAATTTACAAAATTTATCTACAATGTGACACTCCCAAAGGACTGAACAAAAAATAATATGCAGTATCTAAGTCATTCTGCCTTTGCTGATAGGTCATACTTAACCTGTATGTTCTCGGTGATTAAAATTCAGATGACATGTGTGAGATTTCAAAATTCTTCCCTGTACAAAATCTCCAGCAATAAATATTATTATTAGAAAGAGGATAAAACTAAAGTTGACTATGAAAGCTACTGCTCTGAGTTTTGGAAGCCTGGTATCTGGAGACACCCTCTTGAGTGATAACTAAATCCTACTTGGTCAGCTAAACAGTCAAGTTTCAGTACGACACCTTCCCCTATCGGACAATAAAGCAGTATAAGGCAAATTCTAACTAAATGATTTATTATTGGAATTACTAGCAGAACTAAATTTATGAAAACTTTTTCCCCTGATACTCCCCACCCTCAGGATAGGATTATGTTAAAAGGAATGATTCCTAAATTAGCTTCTTGTTTTGGTTTCTATGGAAAATTCTGCCTGTGGCATCTATAAGAGACATGGCAAGTTTAACATGTAAAAAAAAATTGCAACTGCTTATTCCAAATTCCATTGGTCATAGGCAATTTTGGGTTTTTCTTTAATTAATTTGTTTTTGTTAAAGATATTTCTCCTTTTTTCCCCATTGACACCCTCCTCCTCATCCCCCCCCCCCCGCCCTTCCCTAGCTTTGTTGTCTGTGTCCAATGGTTATGAATACATGCATACAAGTTCTGTGGTTTATCTCTTCTCCCCCAACCTGCCCCTCCTCTGAGGCTTGTCAGTCTGCACCCCACCTCTGTGTCTCTGGGTCAATTTTGTTCATCAGTTTGTTTAATTTATTATATTCCACAAATAAGTGAGATCATGTGATATTTGTCTTTCTCTGATTGGCTTGTTTTGCTTGGGATAATACTCTCCAGGTCCCTCCATGTTGTCTCAAAGGATAAGAGACCTTTCTTTTTTTTTTTTTTTTATCCTCACCCGAGGATATTTTTCCATTTTTTGTACAGATAGAGTGGGAGGGAGAGAGAGGAAGGGAGAGAGAGAGAGAAACATCGATGTGAAGGGACACATCGAGTGGCTGCCACCCGCACGACCAACCAGGGCCGGGGACAAACTGCAACCAAAGTACGTGCCCTTAGCGGGAACCGAACCTGGGTCTCTCCAGACCGCAGGCCGACGCTCTAACCGCTGAGCCAAACTGGCCAGGGCGAGATCTTTCTTTCTTACAGCTGCATAGTACTCCATTGTGAACATGTACCACAGCTTTTTTATCCACTCATCCACTGATGGACACTTGGGTTGTTTCCAGATCTTAGCTATTGTAAATAGTACTGCTATAAACACAGGGGTACATATATTCTTTCTGATTGGTGTTTCAGGTTTCTTAGGGTATATTCCTAGAAGTGGGATCACTGGGTCAAATGGAAGTTCAATTTTTAACTTTTTGAGGTAACACCATAGTGTTTTCCACAGTGGTTGCACCAGTCTGCTTTCTCACCAGCAGTATACTAGAGTCCCCTTTTCTCCACACCCTCACCAACACTTGTTGTTTGACGATTTGTTGATGGTGTCCATCCTGACAGGTGTGAGGTGATACCTCATAGTTGTTTTAATTTGCATCTCTCTGATGATTAGTGATGTTGAGCATTTTTTCATGTCTCTTAGCCATTTGTATGTCCTGTTTGGAGAGGTGTCTATTTAGTTCCTCTACCCATTTTTTAATTGGGGTCTTTGTCTTCCTTTTGTTGAGTTGTATGGGTACTCTATGTATTTTGGAAATTAACCCCTTATCTGATTCATCATTGGCAATTATGGTTTCCCATATAGTAGGTTCCCTTTCCATTTTGATG